GGACACCTTCACAGTAACAAAATACCCAGCACCCAGGTGGCTCCCACCTCTCTATTCATCCCTACCCTCCCTGGCATTACTTGGCACCCCACTCCAGTGCAGATCCCCTAGGGGTAAGGGATAATCTCAAAGACATAGGGCCAAATCCAGCCCTGGCTCTACCTGGGTGAAGGAATGTGGGGCAAAACTAGAGTTTGGAATGCCAAGGAGCAAAGGCAGAGCACCCACGGGTGCTGTGGATGCCATGTCATGGGGACATTGCTTTCAGGAACAGCCAGGAGTGAAAGGAAAGAGTTGAAGCTTGTCTGAGTTTGCATTTCAACTCCTTTCCCAGCTCATTCCCCAAGAGCTTTCCATTGTACCTGGATCAAACTGTTCCTGGTGCTTTTTGGTGATGGAGTACCCCAGTCCCAGCACCCACAGGTAGAACACTGAAAGTAGTTTGCCCCCATCTCGGGGAGAGCAGGGACACAGGACACAGTGGGATTCATGCCAGACAGCTGCTGAGCTGTCCCACACAGCCCTAGCACTCACATCACCTCTCTGGGGCCATGAAGCAAGGGAAGGGGGACAATTACCAAAGCACTATCAGGGAGGACTTCTCGGGGTTGGCCCCCATTCTGCTCACCCTCCTGCTTGCTTGAAACCCTTCCCCTTTCTTTGCAAATCAGCCCATGGAGGAAGATGGGGAGGAAGGCTTTTCCCTGGCCTGCAGGGTTCCTGAAAGCAGTGGTTGCTCAGTGGCAGAGGGCTGAAGGCGGGCAGGTGGCACTCTCAACAGCAGCCCCAACAAAGTGGGGTAAATGCCTCAAATGGGAGTTTTACAGCTTAAAAAAATGAAGCACAAAGGCTTTTCATGTGCTTAAACACCCAGGGACTGCAGGGTGACCACGTCATGGCATGAGATGGCCAAGGAGCATCACCAAAGCATCCCAACCCTACCAGACATTCCAGGCTTGCAGGTCTGCTCTCACCTGGCTGTAGCACCTCTAGCAGGCTGCCTTCCTGCCCACTCCCTTGCACAGGTGCCTGCCTGCAGAGCAGGGGGAGAAGGAGGAGGGAGATCACCCCATTATTCTGAGCTTTGAAACTGAGCTATTGAAAACTCCCTGCCATGCCACAGTGCTCTGAAAAACAGTGCAATGTGCAGCCGGGTCCCTGAGCCACGTCTTTGACCCCAACCACCTGCTGCAGGATGAGGGGACTCTGGTGTAAGCTCTGCTTTACCCCATCTCCCTCTGCTGCTGCCCCTCCAGATACCCCCTGCAGTTCTGCTGCATGTGGTCCCTGGGGTGTGCCAGGGCTGGCACCCTGAGCCTGGGACTCCATGGCTTTTGCAACATGGTTTGGCTCCTTCGGGACATGCATCAGGATGGTGAGTTCATGCTGCCCCCACTGAACTCTAATTCCCTGCAGATGGATTAAAATAGAGCCCCAGGCCAGTTGTTGCTCAATCATGGAATTCACTCCTCGTGTGACAGTTGCTCGGTGCTTCCCCCACTGGAGCCTGTGATCCAAAGTAGCGTGTGTCATTTCCCGTCTCTTCTGCTGATCCATCAGACCCGAGGGCTCCCCTCCTGCACTGCTGGCATACAGGCAAAGGGCTGTAATCCTCTCCAAGTGGTTACTCCTGCCTGAACCACTGTTATCACAACAGTGCCAAACTATTGCTGAGCCAAAAAGAGCTTTTCAGCCATCAGCTAGGTCCCATGAGAGCTTTCCAGCCCAAACCAGAGGGTGGGGGCAGCAGGCAGCAAAGGGCACGTGCATAGTTGTGGGATGCACCAGCATGTCCGAGCTTGACTCAGACTGAGACTGGTCCCTCCCTGAACCTGCTCTCTGAGCTGCCTGGAAAAAGCCTTCCACTCTTCATTTTAAGCCACAGAATTACCCTGTGTCCCTTCCCAGTCCTAAGTGGGCAGAAAGCCCCTGCACCTCATGGTCCACCCATGGTACCATGTGCTACACAAACCATTCCCATCAGCTGGCACCTCCCCGTTCAAGGGGTTCCTGATTTCAATATGAATGGAGCAGAGGATCAGTGCCTGGGACTGCAGGGATGCTCCTGCAGCTCTGAGCATCTCTCCACCACAGCTGTGCCCCTTTCTCTAGACACACACACAGAGGAAGAGCAGTTTAGACTGAGGGGTGTGTGAGGCCTGTGCACAGAGGTGGGATTCCCAACACACCTGCCAATACCAGCCTCAAATCACCGAAATGGTGTTTCTCTTACAGCTCTAGCAGGTTTAGAGTTCAGGGCTGACCTAAGCTTTGCAGTGACTCTGGATGACCGAATGATGTGTGGAAGCAGTGGAAAAAAATAGCAGCCAACTTGAGCAAAGTTTCCAAAGAAAGCTGTGTCTGTCTGCACCGCTTCTGGGGTGAGAGGTGCCAGAGTCTTCTCCTTGTGGCAGCTTCCAGTTGCAAAAATCTGTGTCAGCTCAGTGCCTGCACTGTGTCAGAGACATGATGAGCTCTTTGCTATTTTTTCCTCCCTTGCAGATGGAAACACAGCCGGCTGGAGCCAGGGGAAGCTGACGTGCACTGGCTGCTTGGCTCTGAGAACTGAATTCCATAGGCGTTACAGCCTCCAAAAATGCCCTATGGATTCAGTTCTGCAGCTGGGCAGCAAATCAGCCTCAAACCTCCAGGAAGAGAATGCAACTGTGAGAGCTGTTCCTACAAAGAAAGTGCAAAGCTTTGCTCCTGCACGGAGACCAGATTAGGGATGGAGGTGAGTTATGGCCACCACAGGAAAACCTGCTATCAGAGAGCTGGTGGAAGTGTTGGCTGTTTGTGGCAGCTTTTCTCTTGGGAAAAAAAGCCCAACTATAGAATGTTTTCTTCCTTCTGGAAGTGAAATGGCACTTGAGAAAATAAATACATTGCTACCTCCTGATGTACTGCATGCGATTGTGAGCCTCTGCTAAAAATACACATTGTCAGAACAACAGCCTGGGTGTGCCCAGCAATCTCCTGTTCAGAGTCCAGGCAGCAAAACCAAACAAAACTTGGAGAAGATAAACAGGACAGGATGGGTAAAGTTAGGAGTTGTGCTCTCTCTCTCCCCATGGACCCTGCAGATGTCCCCAGCAGGAGTAGACACTTGGAGAAAGTATTTGTGGAGGCAAGAGGCTCTCTTTTCACCCATCCATCTTATACCTCTGGGAAACACTGGCTGCACCCCTTGAGTTTTTGGGACATTTCCACTATAACAAGTGTCACCCTGCCACCAGGAATTTATTGGCTGGAAGAGTGGCATTTAGGATAAATTACTGTGAAAGTCTGCTAATTTATGGTAGCATCTCAGCATCACCATAGGACAAACCCCACACTCCTTCTCACCTTGCCTAGAAGACGTGGTTTGCATGTCCTCCAGCATTTCACTCAAAGCAGCCCCTTCCCATGGCAGGCAGCATCCAGCTCCCACAGCCCAGCTGCGTCCCACAACAGCTCTGGGGATGGGGAAGAAACTCCTTCCAGCACCCCATTGGAGGCTACACCATCCACACAGGGATCCAATGCATGAATTTTGGGTTCACTGCCCAAGGAAGCCACTGCTGCTGGAAGGACAGGGAGTGCAACACTCAGTGCTACAACAGTTTTTCTGGTTCAGCCCTCTTGCAGTTTTGTCTGGCAGCAGAGTTAACCCATTTCCAAGAAGCTAATTGGGGAAGGAGAAATCCAGACAGTTGCTGAGACATTTTGGCAATTGGTTAAACAAAACCTGTTGCACTAAGTAAAAAGAAAAAAAACCAAAATCCGCTTGCTTTCACTTTATAGCAATTCAGAGCCAACAAGGGCCTCCAAGTGCACCCTCACAGGCTTTCTCTATTGCTATGCAGATGGGGAATTCCCAGTTCCCTCCTGCATTAGAAGGCCTTTCTCCCATATGGCAGGTCAGGGGGAGCCTACAGGGGGACAGAGAAAGTCCTGTATTTCTCCTGTATGCTCATAAAGTCCATGCTGGTCCTCAAAGAAGAAGCTGACAGGCAACAAACTGGGGCAAGGCAAGGTACTACCAAGCAGGACAAGCAGAATAACCCACTGTGGCTGGGCACAAGCCATGACAGAAATCATCCCTAACTTTTCAAAAGGTGCCAGATCTGATTGCAAGTTGTTCACAGGACAGGTAGCTAAGAATCAGAAATATAAGCATTTGCATTTGGGTTTTTAATTGTTTATAGTAATTTAAAAGGTACAGAAGTTTGCAAGCAAGTCATACCCAGCCCCTAACAGCCCTCCAGGCTTCCAACACAACTCTTTCAGCACAACCACTAAGCTGTGGAAGTGCTGTGGTTCACACAACTCCAGTAACATTATTGGAGAGCCAGTACCTTCAACCAGAGCCAAGTCAGACCCAAAGCAGGGCCTCAAGCAGCAATTTCAACAAGGACATGTGGCCAGCAGTACTGAGCACCGGGTTACCAAGTGTAAGAGGATGGGAACACCAGGACCTTCTGCCAGCGTGTAGGGAAGTGCTGCATACAGGCATCACGTGGTGATTAAGCACAATGGTATGATCATAAACAGCAGTGACAAGATATGCAGACAATTGCTCCTTAGAGTATTCAAGAACCCCTCTGTCCTCTGGGACCTGCGCTGCCCTCAGCCTGGAGGAAATCCTGCTTTGATCTCTCCAGGAAGGGAACCAGCTCACAGGCCCTTCCCTTGGACAAAGTAGGAAGAGGCCCATCTTCTCTAATCAAGGGCTACTGTCTGGAGATCCCCCCACCAGACTGTGACCACTCAACCAAACCAGTGGAAACCAAATGTTCATTTCAAAACCAGGACCAATGAGCTGACCAACAATCGAGTGTCACGTGGCTTCTTCAAAGGATGGGCATTGTGTATCAAACAGAATAAAGCTGCCATAAGCTTGTGGAGGATGGGGAGCAGTTAAAAATCAACAGGAGTGGTGGCATCCACTGCTTGTGCTACTTGTCAAATGCACCAAGAACAGCTGTCAGCTGGCTCCCATGAGGGCACTGGAGCACCTGTCCATTGGGGGACTGGCTACATCAGTGTCTCAGTTTCTTTTTCTTCTTACGGTTTCGGTCTTCACTGCTGTCATCTGCCTCACTGGCACTGGGGGTCACAGCCTGCTGGATGACTTTTTTTTCCACTGCATATTCCTGCTCTTCTATCTTGGGGTCTCCCTTGACCAAGAACTCTCCTTTCCGATAGGATATGGAGACATTGGTCCGTGGGTAGGTACCATAAACCCTCCGGAGATCATCCTTCACAAATTCTGGGAGGTCTTTCCTTGGTCCAAACACCTTTCCAAGCTTGCCCCATTGAAGCTCCCCTCTCATTGTAAAGCCTTCTGGCCACGTGTCTCGATACTGATCTGACCTCTGGTAGGCAGCGTATGGATGGTAGTTTGCATAGGGATTGTAGAAAGGGATGGGGACCATGGGAGGGAAGTGCCAGGTGTAGTATGGATGGATATAGGGATTGGAGGCACTATAGAGATGATGATACTCCACCTGACCACCTGAATAGTCAGGGTAGCTGTTCTGGTCCACCACAAAGGTGATGGGTCGACTGTAGAAGTTGTGCGTGTGGATGGGAGGGAACATCACGGAGCTGGTCATGTCTTCTGCTCTCCCAGGCCGCAGCGGTGGGTAGGCGTAGGCAGAAGGTGGGATCATGGCTGGGTAATATTCCCGTGGCACAAAGCTGGACTGGTACATTGTACAGGAGCCTGGGGCTTTATGCAGCAGGCACTTCTCTGAAGAAGTTGCAGAGTCTCAAAAGCTGTGAGGACAGGAGGGGAAGAGAAACAGTTTACATTGGTTATAAAAATATTCCAGAACCAGGCTGAATAAGGAGATATGCCTAGCACTGTAAGCATATCAACTAATTAATAATTAATAAAAGGAGCTCCTTGCAGCTTGCAGGGGCAGTAACCTGCCAAGAACAAGCAGAGCCACATTGCCAATGACTGCCTGTTAGCTGCTCAGCAAGACTCGCCATTTAACCCACTCATCTCAGAGTTACAGGGATGTGAACAAGCTGACAAAAACCACTGAGGGCAAAAGAAACCACCTCATGTCCTCATGACTTATCTCTGCACTGCTGGGAGGCAGCAGTACAGACTGCAAGAAGCTGGAGGCCCTTGAGCAAGCATGAAAATGGGGAAGGCAAGCACAAGTGAAAGAACAAAAACAAAGCAAGCAGGCAAAGAAAGGAAAGAGACAACAGCCCAGCCCTGCTGCAGTCATTTCAACTGCCATCCTGCCTAGACTAGGAAGTGTTAAATAAATAAAAAGATCTTCAATTGTCCTTGACTCTCTCTTCCCATCCTCCTAAAGCCCTGCTTCTACTCTGATAAGCAAAAGAGCTGTACCTACTGTTTGTTTCTAGAGCAAAATCCAGGCACATCTATATTTCTTCTGATGAGTTCCCATGTATAAGCATCTCCTTTTGATCTCACTAGTTATAATTCACATTTAAGTGTTCATTCACCTTGAGCAACTCTGACCTACAGTGGAATTTGTTCCTAGCCTGCCCTTGCCAGATATCCAAGCACCCTCTAGGGCCTTAAGCAATGTCCTCCCATGACTCATTATCCTCTCCTCAAGGGCAGGAAGGGAAGTTGTATGTAGCATGGGTTTGGGGTTTTTTTATCTTTTTTTTTTTTTTTTTTTAAATTTGTTACCAGAGACAGGAAAAGACCATGAACAGAACCAAAGGCAGCAAGTCAGGTAATTTTTTTTCCATGGAGTTCAGATCCTGTAAACTGCTTTTGTATCAGCCTTAACTAGAGTTGCCTCTCCCTCAGGTGACCAAGAAGGAGAGGTGAAACTTGGCCCTCAGTTCCTGTGCTTTCCTCCAGCCTAACAAGAAGTTCAGCCATCCCCTAAGAGTTGCCTGACACAAGCAATGCTGGGTACTGAACAATGGAGGTTTTTCTTTTCTTTAACCAGCACAAGTTGCTTCTGTCCCTAGAGGTTCATAATCTGCACTTCCTCAAACCTGCTTTTGCCACAGCTCCAGGGCTAGAAGCCTTCACCCCACACAGGGAACAGCAGAACAGCACTAGAGTATTTAGTCAAGACTAGGCAGCACCCTAAAATGAGACTTGCAGCCTAGAAGCCAAAGCCTGTCATAACCATCACCCCCTCAGATAGGAGGAAATGAATCAATCAAACAAAAAAGTTCACAGCTTACTTGCCTAACTTGCTCAGAACTACCACAGAAATCCAAAGGAATGTTGTATGTCAATGGCAGCACAAGGTGGGTACATGGAATAAATGGTGTCTTCTTGAAAACCAGTCTCAGTGCCCCTTTTAATAGTTCATCCCTGCATCCCTATTGAGATCCACAGGATCATTTCTGTGGAGTGTTTGTGTTTCAGAGCAAGTGGTCTGCACGGACAGTGTGCAGCAATTGCATCCATCCTGTGAAACAAAGCAACCTCCCCTGCTGGGTCAGTGTGCTGCTCCGTGCCAGTTTTTGACAGCCCTAGCTGATGACCAGCTCTTGCTCAAAAGCTGCTGTAGCACCCTGCATTTTGGCTGGCAGCATCATTCCTCCCAGGTCTTCCCGACAGCTGCAAGGAGAAGGGCTGACAGGCCATCTAAATTACAAGGCAGCCTGAGCACAGCTATTAACTGCTTTGATGTTGCACTGGAAAAAGATAAGGGGAACAAGCTGGTGGCTCAGCCAGGCAGGATGACCCACAAGAGGAAGCAAACTGAAGAGGTAAGAGGGGGGAACAAGATGAGGATTAAGCAGGGCTGGGAGCACTCCAGGACAACATTGCCACACACCCCACCACAGAAGTGAAGACATTTCCCTGGAAGCAGATCCCCCGGGGGGAGAGATTTGACAGGTCCCACGGTGTAGACAAGAATTCACAGCCCTGGAGGAGGTTTGCAAGCCTTGGCTGGGTGTCCAGGGCTCAGGTGGGCACTGCCTCTGCTGGGCTTCACTGCACAGCTGCCTGGCACTGCCCTGTCCCTGCCTGCCCCCCAGCACAGAGCTCTCCCCTGTGCCCCAGCACAGAGCTCTCCCCTGTGCCCCAGCACAGAGCTCTCCCCTGCCCCCCAGCACAGAGCTCTCAGACTGCCTCGACACAGGCTTACCTGCACTAGCACAGGGCACCAAACCCCAGCTCCTGGCTTGCAGGGCACAGCACTGCTTTGAATCCTCAGGTGTGTTGCAACAGGTTTTGGTATGCAGAAGGCACAATGCTCCTGCCCTGCCCCTCCAGAGCTGCAGCCTGGTGCTCCCAGGGGCAGACAATGTGGTTTACGCCACCTTTACATAAGTGCCTGTTGTTCAAATTGACCTTCAGGCTGCTTCAGCTTCCAGAGACAGGATTTGGGAGACCATAGCTGCAGCAAAGCCCTGCTAGACTCTGCATGGCTGAGTTAGACTGTGATAAGTTCATGTGTACAGGAAAAGAGGGCTTTTAGAACACCAGTACCGGCTTGCCTGATCCTGTCCCACACTCACTGGGAAGTGAGAGCAGGCAGTATTTCAGGGAAAACAGGGTTTGCCCGGAGGATGATCTTCTGTCAGGCCATCTGGTGGCTGGAAGGCATCAAAAGACAGATGCTTAAGAAAACCAGCTGCAAACACCAACATTACCTAGTGGTACCACTTGAGGAAAGGGTCCAACCCCTAGTTTCTTCTCTCCTTCCTCTTCTTGAGGAGACCCTAGAGCACTAGTACCTAGAGGCAGTCTACAACAGAGCTGGAGAAGGACTTCAGACAAGGGCAAGCAGTGATAGGACAAGGGGTAATAGCTTTAGCTGATGGAAAATGGATTTAAATTAAATATTAGAAATAAATTTCTAAGGGTGGTGATGCACTGGCACAGATTGCCCAGAGAAGCTGTGGATGCCCCATCTGTGGAAACATTCCAGGCCAGGCTGGATGGGGCTCTGAAAAACCTGGTCTAGTGAAAGATGTCCCTGCCCATGGCAGGGAGATTGGAACTGGATGATCTTTAGGGTTCCTTCCAACCAAACCATACTATGATTCACCTCCTCCTACTTCCCTTGTTCCTCCATGTCAACAGCCAGAGGCCAGCCTGGCCTTGGAAGTAAACATCTGACAGCTACCAGCTTTTCAGGATCAACTGCAGGACCAGAAATGGAGAGGGGATCCTGGCTCTTTGGACTACCAGCCACTTTCTTCCTTTGCTCCAATTTCAAGCTCTGATATGCCTTGGGGAAAAATCACCACGTCCATTGCCTGGCACTCAGATTTCCTGAGCAGGAAAAGGGCAAAACAGTCCTTAAAACCTGAGCTGAGCCCTGCAAAATGCCTCCCTGGTCCTGAGAGCCACTGACATCCAACAATACATGCCAGCTTTTCGGTGCCAGAGATTAAAAACATAGATGGCAGGCACCAGGCTGTACGTGGGAGCCAAGCCTCCCCAAGACAGGGCACTGGGAGCAGTTGTTGGCAGCAGGTAGCAACAAGGGACCGACCCAGTAAGAAAGGCCACAGCACGAGACAAGGCAGCTTCTCCCTTTAAGCCTTTCCAGCAGTTCTGGTCTTGCTGGAAAGGGTTCAATGCCACTTGACTGGAGATAAATGAGATACTAAGCACGAAAAGAAAAAAAAAAGGCAAGAAAATTTCAAGGATGGTTACAGACAACTGAAATGAGATTGTCATCTCTGCTTGGTGAGAACATGATACTGCAGGCTATTCCCAGGCTTGCCAAAGCTGACTCCAGCAATTCCCTTACTCACTGCCCATCTGGCAGGGCCTTTCCCTCCTCACACCTCTTGGTGCAGGTCAAGGAGACTGACACCACAGTTCCCAAAAAAGATATGTCAAGTAAAGCGCGCACTAAACAGTGCCAGCTGCCCCAGATAGAGTTGCTTTGGAGCAACCAAGCAATGTTTGCAATACAAAACCAGAGAGGACATTTGATAGCTCAAGTATAGAAAAGCTTTTGTTTCACCACACTCTTACTCAGTTACTACAGGTGATGAATCCACCACTAGTTAAAACAGAAATGCCTAAGGCTGGTAGGGCTCTCCTGGTATCTAAAGCAACAGAAATTACCTCCTAGCAATACACAGTTTTTCTGGACATATCTCAAGGCAGTAGAGCTTTACTGTCACCTGAGCTAGCTTTGAATTTGGGGAGCTTTTTGTTTAGGTATTTGTAAAGCACAAAAAAACCCACTGTGAGCTACAGAAAACAGAGAAAAGTGTAAATATTGAAGTCCGTGCCAGACTAATCTCTCTCCTAGAGAATGTGCAAAGTGAGCCTGACCGTAGCATGGACACAGACCAACATACAAGGTGTCCCACAGTATCTAACATGTGAAACTTCATACAAGTATCTCATGGGTCTTGGTGTCACCAAGACAAACAGTTCAAAGGATGTCACCAAGTCTTCTGTCCACCTGAAGCAGCAGCCAAATTCAGCAGGGTCCCCAGGTCAGGCTGGCAGCTTGAATGGGTTTGGATGCTTCCTTAGGGAACATGATTAAATTCAGCACAACTGTAGAGACACCTTGGCCCACAGGAGAGGACGTGGCCATCTAATTTACTGTAACTCTCAATCAAGACTATTCATGCCTCAATCCATTGCCCTGTGATCAGCTCCCAAATGAAGATCCCATTAAGTTACCCTTTCCTTTCCACTGTTCCAGCACCCAAGCATTCAGACTATTCTTTCTAGTTTTCTTCCTGCCCTCTTCCTCTCCCATCCCAGAAAAACCACAGATCTCCTACCACTGCTCTGTAGCAACTCCCAAGGGTACAGGGATGAATACTGCAAAAGCACCGACTTCCCCCAGCCAAGGGAATGAAGAACTCATGAGTTATTTCCAGTTAGTCTCCCCATTTTGAGCAGAGTCTGCAACATTGTTGCCATCTGACAAAGCTTTGGCAAAGGCTTGCCTTGGACAAAAACCCCAAAACTTCAAGGGCTGCTTGAAGTGAAAGGTTAAAACTGAATGTTCTTATTGAGCCAAGGTTTGTCTTTCATAGCTCTGGTCTCAGAGTCCCACATACTTATCCAGCATCCTGATAGTGAGTGGGAGAAGATCACAATAAAGCAGTTTCTTATTTTTCCCTGTCACTTCCACCCCTTTATTGCCAGCATAAGATCATGCTTGGTTTGAAGTCCTTTAAGAAAAACTCACCCAGATGAAGACTCCCAAGTACTTCTTGGAGACGTGGGAGAGCAGCACAAAAAGCCACACAGCACCACACAATAGCTTTGATCCTCCACCACCAGTACTGATCCTTAGGACAGAGGCACTTGGCTGGCTTCCTAAAGGGAATGTTTTCTCTTAGCCAGACATGCCTGGCAGCAATACAGGAATTCAAGGAAAGTGCAATAACTCGTTACAAGCTGGGTCTTTTCAGGCCTTAATTTTTATCTAGAAGAGCAGATTCCCATGCTAGTGTTCCTTAATAATGGAAAAACTTAGATTTTGCACAGACACACCCACCCCACAAAGGTAAAACAGCACCACACAGTTTGCTGTGGTCTCCAAGAGAAAAGCAAACCTACGCTGTCCAAGCAAACACACACTCCTAGCAAGGAGCATTAAATACTTCCACAAGAGGTTACTACATCATGCCTAGTGCCAGCAGGCAGTAGTGATTAACAGGAGTGTAACCCAGGGCTGCAGAGAACAGGCCTCCTCTTTGCCAGGCAAAGCCCACCACAACCTGAAGGGAGAGGTGACTTCTTGAAAGAGGTGACCTCTTACATCTAGAAAGGGAAAAAGATGCAGTGTGATGGGCTGAGATGAAGTGGGGTCATTTCTGCCCCACTCCTGCTCACACACTTCATCCCTGCGGCCTCTCCAACAGCACAGAGCACAGCCTGGATAAGGGTGGCAGCCCGACAGCTCTCATGCTCAGGCAGCACAGCTTAGGAGCTCTCCCCTTCAGACTTGAGCCCTGAGTGCCACCACAGTCACAGGTTTCTGAATGCAACTCATTTTCTATAAAGCCACAGTGCACGTAACAATAACTTGCTTCCTGCAGGCAGAGCTGACACTGCTTACCGGGAGCTGTGCTGGTGTTACACACCAGCATCTCTCCTTACATTGATCCTTTGGGATATTTCAGGATGGAAGTTTACTGTGACAGGATACACAGCTTCTGCTTCTCAGAAAAGGCGTGAGGTTATTTGCCGTGGTAACCTGGTAACATGTAGAGGAAGGTAATGGATACTGAAAGCAGCTTGAACACAATCCATGAAAAAGAAAAGGGCTTTGCAAGCAAGAGCAGGTACTTTGAGTGAAAGCTTCATGACTCCCCAGAGAACAGTAAAGCTGCAAGGTAGAAAGGGTTTAAGAGAGATTAGAAGTAGAGATCAGTACAAACAGGAGAAACCCACCAATCCAGATGGTTCTGTATGTTTTTACTGAAGGTAAATACAAAAGTTATTTTGGTTGGATCAAAAAAAGCAGTAGCACAGGCAGCAGATGGATGGAGATGGCTGCAGGACCCCCTACTTCTGCCACCAGAAGGCCTTCAAGCAGCCTTATCTGTTCCCACACCACTGACCCAGTCTGAGGAACTCCCCCAGCAGTTCTGGGGCTCTGACTTTGCTTCCTTTCACACCATGGGAGGGACCTTTCCATCAGGAATTACTTCACTGTCCAAATTCTTACAGCTGCCTAAGCCAACTGAGAAGATACCACAAGCACAGCTGATACCAAAACTCCATGAACAATCCCTTCAGCTCAGCCAAGCAGGAGGATTTAACTTCTGAAACCAGAAGACACCAGTCTCATCCTGCTGTTACTAGTGCATCACAAAGAGAAAAGCTTCAGCTGGCACCAGTAACTGTGGAAATAGCAGCTAATGCATGTTGCAGTCAGTCACCCCTTATACAGACCCTTTGAAGAGGGAGTAGATCCGTTTCAGCTATTCAAAGCAACATTCCCAGAAAGCGCTGAAGTCTAATATGGGTCTGGCATTTGTTTCTGAGGTTTGTGCAAAGCCCAGACTCTGTATGAGATCAAAAGACCAGGAAAAGCCCTAGTCGTGGCAGAGCAAGATTTTACTTGACTCCAGTGATCCAAAACCCACCCCCTGCATAACTGTGCTCTAATAGCAGTCAAAATGCAACTTGCTGGTGACCGAGATGTTTGAAACAGCCACTCCTCCTATTCTGACTGCAGCTGCTGGATAACACAGCAGCTCTGGAACAGCTGCACTGCCAATAATAAAACATGGTGAGTTTTACCACAGGGTGACTGCATCAGCAGGCAAGGCTCTGGAAACTACCCCTGCCTGCTGCCAAGGTGATCCCAACACTATCACCCCTTTAACTTCTCCCTAGGTAGATGTGTCTGGTGCACTAGAGTCTACAGTGTGGACACACTCCAAGCTTTTTCGTTTTCTGATATTCCTACTTCTGGCACAGCCTAAGTTCTGTGTTATTAAAGCTACCACCACCACCACTCATCTTCCCAGCAATCAATGCAGGCACCCTTTGCATCAGAAGTCTTCCTCACCTGAGGTTCAAATCTGCCCATGTCTCATGATCACAGTCAGCCGTACCAAAAGCTATCATCTTTTTTCTCATCTAAAGCTTTTCCCAGACATAGATCATATTTCAACACTATTCTCTTTAATTGAGCACATTTTAATCTGCACTTCATACTGTTCAGTCCTAATGATCCCCTCCACGTTCAAACACAGCCTGCACACAGACCTGCTCCTCCTCTTACTCAAGACTTCATGTGATATCCATCATCTCTATCCACACTCTCTTCTTCAAAGAAAAGTTCCCAGTATCAGTTAGCTCAAACTTCCAAATTAGGAGATCATGGTCAAGCCCCAGCTGTCACTTCTGCCCCTTCAGATTGCAGTCTTGAGACAACACTCAGGAGACTAACTTTTATCAATCAATCAATCAATCACACCAGTAAATCAACTGAATGATCAATAACCTCATTAACACACCACCAGTATCTCACGGTTATTTTTATCACTTTGTACACAGCTATGAAGCTACTAATCAAGTCTTATGAACCACACACAATGCTATTGAGTCACAAGTGCCACCCTTCCCTTCCACACCACTTAGCCCTCTTTGCTCTACCCTCCCCCAAGTCTTTCCAACATAGACCTGATGGAGAGTCCAGCAGGTTGTTAAAGGAGCATCATTTCAGCATTCCAGTGTGCTTAGGTCCTCAGGCTTCACTATCATCCATAGATGTCTGCACTCCTGCAATCAGCTGCTCCCGCCTTTGTCTCATTTTATACCTTATTCTCTTATTTCAGGATCCGCTTTCTCTGCCACGCTCATGCCTCCCTTACTCCAGTCTCCTCCCAAACAGACAGTCCACCCCTAATTATTTCTTCCTCATTGGTCTCAGTTTTGCTATGTCCATAACTAAATCTGACACTTTCGATATCGTTACCTAGGCAATCTCAGCCTTACATGGCATTACTGATATGGTGCGGGTGGCCTTGCAAGGTTCTACCCTGCAAAAGCTGCTTCAGACACCCCTATAATTATCTAGTTCCTCCTGGTTATATATTGTTGACTTTACACACTCCAAGATAAATCATTCAACTCCAGCCTTGATTCCTGTGCCCAGCTCCAGTTACCTCCCAGCACTTTCTTATCTCACACACAGACAGTTCGCACAGCAGAGCAACATGTTTTGCACTTTCACAGCATCCCGCTCTCTCAGCTGCTTGATTACAAGTCATTGTCCTTGAAGTGTTCTTGGGACAGTGCTGATGTCCTGCAAAGGCCTTATCTGGTTACATAGCCTGGCTCTCCAGAGGGACTTTATGCCCACAGTGGGTTTCCTCTGTTGACATACACCAATGTCACAGCAAAACATTTGCATTTTAACTACTTGTGTTTTAAATACACTTGGATCCCATTCCCACATATCCTGCATTGGAAATGGATGTTTAGAACTGCTGAAAGTACAGTCTTATGCACTTGTACTAGGTCTTCCCATGGGATCATCACCTCAAACAGAGGAACAGGGCAGAAAAGAGATTATCCAGATTTTGGGGTTGTATTACATACAACGTATTCATTCAGCATATAAAAATGTCTTCTGTTACAACAGCAACACACACTGTCTTTCTAGTGTAAATTCAAACATCGGAGCTAGAATAACCCATGGGAATATTGCTTTTTGCATCCCCCAAGGCAGACAGCCACAGCATCTGCTGATCTACAACTCCCTAATAACTTTAAAAAAAAAAAAATCCAACTACCTGCTGTTAACGGTCTTTAGACAATACAGAACATAGCTCACAAATATCATTATTGATTTTTTTAATGGGAATCAAAAGACAATAATGTGACAAGACAATCACTCAGAGAGGCCCTTCTCTGTCATTTTTTCTGAACTAAAGCCTTTAAAGCCTATCATGACACAACAATAACAATTGACATTAGTATCTTTCACAAGCAGGTGGTGCTAGGAATGTTACAGGATAGAGCATTGACATGAATCAATGCTACAACCAAGTTACGCTACTATATGTGGACTTTCATCCACTTGATCAAAAAGTAGATGTGCCAGGATGAAAAAGGCACCATCTCCAGAGGTATTTGAGTATTTGTATTTCCAAAAAGCCAAAGAAAGTTCAGAACACCTCAGGCGTAGGCTGCTACAGCACACATTTAAGTTAGAACCAGTATTGTTTTGCCACCATTACTGGAAAAACCACTGCAACGCAGATTGGTCTTTAGTCATAAGTGCAGAACACAGACATTTCTTTGGTGTGTAGGCACTCACATCCTGAGAAAAAACATCCGGGATGATGCCTTCACTTAACAGAGGAGCAAGAAACAACCTGATCTTAAGAAGGCAGCCTGCTTTCTACAGCCTCTCTACTGACGTGCCTTAATGAACATACTTACAGAACCAGGAGATGCATTAAGATAGTGCATCACACCTTGTGGAAGTTTTCCTGTGGTAACCAGGGCTGCAATACCTGTCTGAACATGCCCTTGTACCTAAAAAAAAAACAACAGGAAGCTCATTCCTTCAGCAATTATATGAGTTTCACGCCCAGACAGGGAGCAAGGATAGAGGACACAGGTAAAGAAACAGCTAAAATCAGCACATAAAGCCAGCATGGAAAAACCTCAAAAGCACTCACCAGAACTTCAGGTTCTTTCTTGAGTCAGCAAAACACTATTAGTAACACCCAAAGAACTATAAATTTTAAAGTAACAGACTGAATAACATAGAAAGAAGCCCACCACTGAATACTTTAAAAATGAACACTACTGGCTTTGTTTTTTTTTTTCCCCTTTGCTTTACCCCCAGGCTTTTTATTCACACTCAGCTATAGCTAAGCTGCTATTTGTACTCACTGCTCATCTAGTAGGTTGTAATTAAGTAAGAGGCCGTATCAATGGCTCCCATCAGCACTACCTTATTGTAAACACCTGCACTGTCATGGGCCTTTGGAGATAGAAATCTCCACAGGGGTTTTAATCTCCTTGGTCTTCAGGTCAGTTCATCATTACCCAGCACAACAGCAGCAGCAGGACATGCTCCTTAGGGATACTTAGTGACTCCATGACCTTAGAGGTCTTTTCCAAACTAAATGATTCTTTGATTAATGCCTTACACCTTGTTCTGCTGGAGGTGATCTCAATAGCTGAAGCTAAACACCTACAAATCACTCTTTAATTACAAACACTGTTGATTGCAATTAGTTGCCTGGCTTCTATGAATTTATAAAAATGACCTGTTTAGGAAACCACTAGTAAGTCTAATACACAAAAACATTGGAAAGTAATAGAATGCAATAATACAAATTGGCTTTATTGTATTACAAATAGTAAATTGGCTTTTGCCTCAATTTTGCCAGGTTAAATTTGAGAATACTTGGGTGGGAGCAACTGTTGGAGTGAGAGGTGGAAGGTGATGCTTATGCTGAACACAGGAATTGCTTCTTCGAGAGAAAGGCACACAGAGAGATCTTAAATAATAAAGGACACAACACTCCCTATGTTCTGACATACACAGGATGACTGTAAATGAATCCTGGGAAAGAAGTGCAAGTAGCTGATGACTAAGACCACAGACAGGACATTTGATGGATTTCAGGGAAGGCTGCCTGCCCCCAAGCAGCCATGTACATTGTTTTGTTTCCACTGTGTCATTTTGCAGCTTGGCACACGCTCCTTGGAGGCTGGAGAAAAGGAGGCTAAGGGAGACTCCACAGTTCTCTATAACTACCTGAAAGGAGGGTGTAATATGGTGGGGCCGGTCTCTTCTGCTATGCCTGCAGTAAGAGGACCAGAGGAAATGGCCTTAATCTGAGGCAGGGGAGATTCAGAGTAGATATCAGATTGGTTTTTTCCAGTGTTCGGGTGGTCAGACATTAGAATAGGCTGCCCAGGGAGGTGGTGGAGTCACCATCTCTGGAGGTGTTCAAGAAGCCTCTGGATCTGGCACTGGGCGATATGGCTTAGTGTTTTAGGGGTAACAGTGGTGACGCTGGGCTGATGGTTAGGCTGGATGATCTTAAAGGTCTCTTCCAACCTTGATGATTCTATGATTGTACGACTCTGACTGCACGACTCTGTGACTCCAAGCGTTGGAGCCCTGACGACAGGCGGACGGACCATAGAGAAGGCTCCGCCCGCCCGGCTAGAGAGGCTCGTGCCGCTGGGAGGCGGGGCTATGCAAATGAGGGAGCCGGGTGACCTCACACGAGATGGCGGCCGAGAGGTGGCGGCGGCTTCACTCGCCAGGACACAAGATGGCCGCGGGGCGGAGCCTGGTGGGGAGGATGCGCATGCGCGGGCGCGCCGTGCGGAGGCGGAGCGGCAGGGGTGCGCATTTACCGGACGCAGGTAGGAGGTGCTGGGGGTTCTCCCGCCTCATCGCTGGCCCTGGTTTGTCTCCCTGCCTGCAGCGCAACGCGGTGGGGTGGGGGGGTCCCCCTTCCTCTAAGGCAGTTCGGGTGGGATGGGGGAGACATCCCCCCCCAGTGGAGCCATTCCCCCTTTCCCTGCAGTGGTAGAGCCCGAGCGCGTACCTCCCCCCGTTACTCTGGACGGTCCCACTTTGGGCCGGGGGGTGCCCACCCTCTCTCGCTCCCTGCTGTCAGTGTCCGTGGGCGGGAGTCTTGGTCCTTGTGGAGTCGGTCGGAGTCCAGGTTCCGGTAAAGAGAGGCGGCCCTGGAGTGTGGAGTGGGGCTCTGGTGTCCCTGTCACACCTTCCTCTCACGTGGCAGCACAACCCACTGCCATAGAGCCCGCGGGAGGGTGGCAGTGCCCCTGGAGAGCCCACCGCGGGAGGGTGGCAGTGCCCGTGCCCGGCCACCCTTTCCTCTCCCAGGGCTGCCAGGCCTCTCCTCAGTGTGGGGGACCTTGTGGATGGGGCGCTGGGGTGGCGGCGCTGCTCGGCCATGTCCAAAGGCACAGCGTCCCCATCTCCGGCCTCGCTTCACAGGTATTGCCTGGCTCCCTGTGCTCCTGTTGCACATGTGGGACATCAGCAGCTGCAGTTGCTGACCTAGTGCTGTCAGAGATCCCTGGTGGCCTCAGCAGCTGGTTTCCTTCCAGTTCTTCAGTTAGTGGTGTGTGGCCCTGTGGCTGCAACTGGGGCATCATGGGGGGACTGGCTCTGGGAGGTTTGCACAGGTGAAGAGACTCCTTGTTGGGAAGACAGGCATATAGCAGGAACTCCTGGTGGCTGCACTTGGCAAAGTGGTAAAAAGTGCTTCTCACCTGGTGCTTCCTCTGAAGTCTTAACAAAGAACAGGCATCTGTGCAATAATCCCCTCTTGTAGCTTCTGTGATCCTACTCTTGGGGATTGTTTTCAATGAGGATTTCATATTTACTTCCAGTTTTGTAATTTGAGGGCAGAGTTACCTGCCAGTGGTTCCTATGCTAGTGCTGCGAGGTCCTCTGCAGGATCAGAGCTTATATTGACAGTAAATGATGGGGAGACCCATCATTTTTAGTACATCTAACACACTTCCCTTACACTGTAAAACAATGAATCATTTAGACACGGGATACCATGTGTTGTTAAGTTAAAAGACTTGTCAAGTTCCAAGGCTATGAGATTTACCCAGTTGCCTCAATTAACAAACCTTGTGTACCCGTTAGGGAGTGAGATCTGATTGAAGGAGATTGCTCTGCTGGAACACAGCTCCACAGAAACTACCATCTGGTTTGAGATGTTAATTGTCTGCGTGGCAGTTGTGTTTACCTGTATGAGCCTGGCAGGAGTGACGGAAGCATCTGATGGAAGCACATGATTGCCTGTAACAAGAAGGGTGTTACTAAACCTCATGATACGCAATTATCAGTGATTGTTCAGTTGGTA